AAGATTTTTGCAGCTAAATTACAAGTGATTGGTGAGTATTTTGGCAGGAGGTTCCTCTCCCACGTTACCAGTCTCACTCCTTTTTTTGACACTGGCTGTGTGACAGACTCTCAGAGAAGAGGAGTAATTCACTCCCAGAGAGATGGGGCTTGCTGCAGCTGGAGTTCCTCTCGAGGACTATTCGTGGCAAAGCTAAAAGAAGAGATTAGCAGAATACCCGCTAGGATGAGACCATTTGCATTAAAATTTATGTAGAACTTTTCTGTGTTATAAGACAGATATCAGAGCAGATCTGCTGGAGAACTTCTGTGTGGATTTGGGAAGATGTCTCTGACTGAAGCAGAAATCAAGAATCAGTTTTGCAGACGTGTATGAACAGTGTGAAGAAACTAATAAAACCCTTTCCTATGATAGAATCTACTAGTATTATTATCCTACTTTTATAAATTGGGAAAAGAATGAAGGAGTGCAACAACCTATTGATGGTGACAGAGCACTTCACCTGCAGCAGGCCATGAGCCATCCAGCCATCCTTCACATCCCTCAGAACAGAAAGGACATAAAAAGACAGAATATATTCTGTTTATCCCTACTGTGCATATTATCATCCATACAGGCTCCACGCTGTGCACCTGGGGTGCTTTATTTAACTTTCTGTACTTTCACTTTGTAGTTCTTTTTATCTTTATCATGCTGTTAAAATAAACAAGTAGTATGCAAATTTTCTTGGAAGAGAATAGACAAAAACATCTCTAGGATATGTAGAGATTAATATTTAACCAGACAGATGAACTAAACAATACGACAAGTAGTACAGCTTGCCATCATTGAAACAGCTGACTGTAAAATAACAGAAAATAATAGCAAAAAAAAATCAGTAAGTTAGAAAACAACTGATGAAGAGCATAAGAACCTGAACTATCCTGATTTAGAGAAAGGTTTCATACAGAGTTCAGGTCCACCGCAGTGCTCCTCTGTCTAAAGAGAAGCAAAGCCAAGGTACAGTATAGGAGAGCTGTTCAGGGCTTTGCATAATTATCAGTACATAAACCTTCATAGCATGGGGACAACTCTAAAATGTTATGGCCAGCACTCTTCACAAAAGATAATTAAATGTTCTTCATGTCTGGTTCTGACAAGTGTGTAATTACAGGGCCGTCCTGTGAGTCTGTTAACCTGCTTGCCTCAGTGCATCCCTGAACAGTCAGAACTGGGAGATGGGAAACTGAGAAGAGCTAAAGGCATCATACCCTGGGAAAACAACATTAAATAACCACAAGGAAACATCAAAAACCCCTCCTCAAAACAAACAAACAAGCAACTAAATAAACAAATAAATAAAAATAAAAAGAAATTTAAAAAAACCCCAAATGCCTCCCCCCCCCCAACCTAAAAAAAACTCCACAACCGAACAAAACAATCCTACCAAAATACAAAACATCCAGAGGGTTTCAGGCAACAGTGAGAACAGAAGACAGACAGGTGACTTGTACCTCCTAATACTCTCCCACAACCTCCAACTCATTTCAAATCCTGGACCTGTTCTCCTCTGCCAGTCTAGTAACCTCAAATGACTCCTGCTGTCAGGTAGCTGTCCACTTTTGAACCTTCACAATGTCCCTCAACAGAATCTCACCAGGCTTCTATTCATTACACAAATTCTGGATTTATACTGTGGTACCATGATAATCTTCTCTGTTCCCTCCTTAATAATTCCTGATGTTTTCTGTACCTTTTTGGCTTCTGCTGAGCACCAGGATCATTTAAGGAAACGACCTGTTGTCACTTTCAGATCTCAAGTCTGAGCCAATCCTTTCAGGTGTAGAGCTCAGACTGTTTTTCTTTGTGTGCATCACTTAGTATTAATCAACACTGAATTTCACCATATTTTCATATATATCCATATTCCATGCAGGAGTATATTAAACAGCACACATCAGAATGTCTGCAGCAGAGAAGTGAAGGACTGACTGAAAAAAAGGAGGAAACCCCACAAATTTCATTCACTGCCCAGAACTGATTCACTAAGTGATCATGTCCATCCTATAAAGTGAATGAGACAGGAGACCACAAGGAGAAAAAAGAAAAAAAGGCATTATTTAATAAAAATCTTGTAATCATGGTACCATATATATGGAAAATAAATAAAATTATTTGGTTTACCCAAAATTGAACTTCATGACTCTATAACTTTAATACCATCTCTACCATGATTAATTACACTAAGTTACAAAACAGATGATTCAACAGTTCAAACTGTGGTTTGTAGCCTTCAATTTTCATACTCATTACAGGTGGACAATGGATTACTATAGTTCAGTCTCCTGAGACTCCCCACCACACATTTTCTTGTCAAATGTGCTGCACAATCTTCTCTAACTATTTTTCACATCACTCAGGAGAATGACCTTGAATGAAGAAGCTTATGAATAGCTTATGAATATTAGGGATGTTGTTTTTCCCTCTTCCAGCATTCTTATGCTTTGATATTCCTCCAAATGACTGCAGAATTGTAGATAGTATTTTCTCTCATTCTTCAGTGTTATGAATATTGAAAAGCTGTGATTTTAACAATACAAAAGTAGTAATTTTCAATTTATTTGGTTCCTAGTGGAAAAACCCATATTTTTCAGTCTTATTTTGCTTTCCGGACAATTGGTAAACACACTGGAATTAACTCACAAAGCAAATTGTCTTGGTGATTCCATGGCAGTGTCTGATTATAAAGGCAAATAAAAATTACTGAATAGATGTTTGCAACAGGTTCATCATCTTGAGTATGATCACACAGCATGTACAGGACAATCAAGTGATCAAGCCCAGCCAGGACAGGTTTAAGAAGGGCAGGTCCTGCCTGACCAATGTGATCTCCTTTTATGACCAGGAGACCCATCTAGTGGGTGAGGGACATGTGGATGTGTCCAGCTGGACTTCAGCAAAGCCCCTGACACCGTCTCCCACAGCTTTTGCATCTCCTGCAAAAGCTGCAGCCCACAGCTTGGACAGGTGCATCTTCCTGAGTTAAGGACTGTGTGGACAGCCCAGCCCAGACAGTGGTGGGAATGGTGCCACATCCAGCTGGTGTCTGGTCACTCATGGTGTCCCCCAGGGATCAGTGCTGGGCCCAGTCCTGTTCAGTGTCTTTACTGATGATCTAAATGAGGGGACTGAGTGCATCCTCAGCATATTCATGGATGATACCAGTGTTGATGTGCTTGAGGGCAGGAAGGCTTTGCAGAGGGATCTGGACAGGCTGGATCCGCAGGCTGAGGCCAACAGAATGAGGCAAACGGCCAAGTTGGTTCCTGGTTCCTGCCCTTGGGTCACAACAGCCCCACAAACATTCTAGGTAGGGAAAGAGGGGCTGGAAAGCTGGAAAAGGCCCTGGGGGTGCTGCTGTCAGCAGCTGAACATGAGCCCAGGTGTGCCCAGGTGGGCAAGAGGCCAATGGCCCCTGCGCTGTCCCAGCCATGGGGTGTCACAGGCCCAGGGCAGTGCCTGGCCCTGTGCTGGGACTGCTGGGGCCACACCTCCAGTGCTGGGGACAGTTCTGGGCCCCTCAGACAAGAGAGACATTGAGGGGCTGGAGCGTATCCAGGGAAGGGAACAGAGCTGGGAAAGGGTATGGAGCACCAGGAATGACTGAGGGAGCTGGGAGGGCTCAGCCCAGAGAAAAGGATGCTCAGGAGGGACCTTCTCGCTCTCTGCAAGTTCCCACAGGATGGTGGAGCGAGGGGGTGGTTGGGCTCTGCTCCAGGGAGTATGGGACAGGACAAAAGGAAACAGCTTCAAGCTGTTCAGGGGAGGTTTAGGCTGGAGATCAGGAGGAATTTCTTCTGATTAGACATTGGAAGAGGCTGCCCAGGAAGGGGGTGGAGTCTCAATCCCTGGAGGTGTCCAAGGAACGACTGGACGTGGCACTCAGTGCTCTGGGTTGGGGACAAGGTGGGGGTTGGGCACAGGGTGGACTCCAAGGGCTGTGAGGGCTTATCCAATCTTAGTGATTCTGTGATTCTGTGATAAAGTTACTAAAACTGAACATTACTGTCCTATAATCTAAAGATCACAGGAAGTGCGCAGGAGTAACAAGAGCACTGATCCATGCTTCTGCAGAAATTATCATGATGCTTTCTCACTTATCAAGCAATGACCACAACTTCAGACACTATGAGTACAAAATCCACTGACATCTCAGATGACAATTTACTGTCTTGCACAGAATTTCATGAGTAAATTGGTGATTGAAGTCTTCAAAGAAGTTTCTTGACATTTCAGTGGTTAGGATGGAAAAGAGACAGGTGTGAATTTACAGTCAGATTGTGCTTTTTCACACATGATCAAAGTGAACTGTGGGTTTGAGCATGTCAAGGCAAAGTGACATTGATTTTGTCGACTGTAGGAAAGTTTTTTATTTGTAACATGACACGACTTGGTTAGTGGAAGATATCAATATGTTAAAGGGTACGCAGCAAGGCAGTGAACACACTCAAAACTTAAAATAAGTATTTTATGTTACTTTAAGTATCTCCAGTCAGTAGACTACCATAAGTGCTTTCCAAGGAATATGCAGTACACACTTGAAATAATTTTGTTAAGTAAAACCACTCTTGTGTATACCAACCTTGGACATAAAAAAACTCATTTTCAAAAATAAAATCTTAAATTGTAAGTGAATAAAAAAAAAATAAAACCCAAAAAAGATATTAACTGGAGGTTTAGCAGACCAAATACACCAAATATTAACCTTTCAGTAGCAGGCTATGCTAGAAATGTTAAGGACAAATTGTAGGAATTCTACTAACAGAGTTGGAAAGGACCCTAAAGATTATCTTATTCCAACCCCGCTGCCATAGGCATTCCACTAGACCAGGTTGCTCTAAGCCCCATCCAACCTGAGCGTGTGTTCTTCAGAACATATAGGTAAGTTCTTGAGAAATCTTGACCTTTAGAGAACCCAGGTATCTCAGTGTTACCTCTCTTGCACAGCACACTTTTCTCACCTGGTGGGCTTCCATGCCCTGCTGCAGCCGTAGCAATAGCAAAAGCAGAAGCAGGAGAAACTGAGCAGTGGCTGTTATCAGCAGCTTGCACTGTAAAGGGAAAAGACACGGAAAAGTTAAATTCCACATACTCTTCATTAAACAACAGTAAGATTTAAAATCTTCACTAATGTTTATACTTCACAGACACTTTCTGCTTTAACCGTCAGATGACTTTATGTTAAAGACAATAAAAGTATCCTATTTGTGGTTTAAGCTTTATTTCCAGGTCAGTATAATTAATGCTGCTACGGAAACAATATCTAAGGAACTGCTGAGGTGAGAAAGAAGTATATTAACCAAACAGAAAAAGAACAAAACACACACACTAAACAAAAACAACAACAAAAATGAAAAAACAATAGAGTAGAAAATGAACTAAGCATATTAACCCACTTCTGACAAGTAGGTTCACATGTTTTTTCATTGCATCCCACTGGATGAGTAGAGTTTTTCAGAATTTATCAAACTTTTTTCCAAAGGGAGTAGAAAACATTGCCTCTGATTAGTACTCAAACAATACAACACTGCTGCCCACAGTTTCTAACTCCAAAATCATGCCATCTCAGCACAAACAGGCTCAATCACAGAAAATTACTATTCATTTAAATCTAAAGTGTCTCAGCAACTTACTAACAGGTGAAAGCCTCTGCTCTGGTTTTGTTGTAGTCTCAGGTACAAAATACCTGCTCAGAAACTTGGCTCAGGAGCTGGCAGCATTTTAAGTGTTCATGGACACAGCTCCCAGCTCTGCTAATGATTTCAAAGAGCCACGTGAGAGCTATTTGAGGAGCTCCAGCTCTTGCTTTTTCCTCTTCAGTTGAGCAATTTATTCAAATTTTGGATTGAATAATATGACACCATCTGTAAATGTTCAGTGTTATACAAAGAAACTGACACAGTCACTCCCCATTGACAACAATGGGTGTTGTGTGTTTCGTGATTACAGATGGTGCCCAAAATACGTCCCCTTAGTAGCTGAAAAAGATCTGTCAAAGTCTTGAGAGTTTTGTAAGAACAGCACTGATTCAGTATTAGTCCCAAACCTAGGCACATCCTGCTCGAGCTATTTAAGAACACTGAGTCATACTGAAGTCCCTAAATGCTTCCAAGTCTCATTATTGATACTCAAATTTAAGAGGCATACTTCACATTTTAATGGCTTTATTATTAATACCTGAGAAATAAAGAAAATACAAGCAAAACAGATTATTCAAACATTATTACTACTTCCTAATATCCTTCAAAGGCTACAGCCACAGTGATTTAACTCTCTAAAGTGACTGACAGAGATGAGGCACATCAGTTTCTCACCTCCTGGCTGGCGGTAGCGTAGGTGACGTGGTGTCGAGGGGGATCTGCATGGTGAAAGCTCTGTGGTGTCCACTACTGAGGTGCTTTCAGGGATTGTCCTGTCCACTGACACAGAATCCAGAACTGCTGCTTTAAAAGAGAATTAAATGTCAATACTGGTGTGATTGTGCATAATTTGGGTTTATAGTTGTTTTAATCAGTGCAGCTTCTGGAACTTGCCATAAAATTTTGCCATTAGCTCAGCAATAATTATCCTCCGGATAGAGTTAATTAGTGGGAAAGTTTTGTAGCAATGATACAGACACACAAAATCTCATAAATAAAGAACCTGGTGAAAACCAGCGAGTTTTCAGTTTTAAAAATAGACTGGGTAAGACTGTAGGAGAATATGCAGTGATGTGCACGTGTAATAAGGAACTCATAGATTTTGTATGTGCTAGGGAAAATAATTCTTGTTGGATAACTGTGTAATCAAAATCTGCCCAATAAAATGGCCAAACTGCACTGGAGAACAGACTACTCCATGGGGGAGTTGTTCTATCAGAAGAATAAAAGAGGGATGGAAAAAATATTACTTCCAAAATGAGGGAAAACAAGCTGACAAAACATATCCTTCTTTTGATATGAATGACAACTCTGCCTGCAGCATCAGCATTGTGTATATAAAAATGAATATAAACAAAAATTTTGGAAAAACAAAAGTTTGAAAGGAAACAACTTTGAAAGTGGGAAAAGAAGTGTGAATTCCAGCATGCAAATGGACAACATTCATGGAGAACAACAATCACCATAATAATATGTCCTGTGGAACAGGATTTGTGCAGCTGTATTGGATTTGGAGTAAGCCACAGCTGTCTTCTTGGAAATCTGGCAGCACCAGAGCAATAGCATTACCCATTTCTATTCCCCTTGTGAGAATTCTTCTTAGACTTATCTTCCTCATGCTGCATACAGCTGGGTGACAAAAGGACTCTCCCTGGCAGAACAACACTATCTAGATGATGCAAACATCTCCATATTGAGTGCAAGCTGTTCAACAGGAGATCCTCAAGGGGATGGGAGACACCACTCAGACAGCCATTTATATGAGCTCCTTGCCATTTCCAAAAATTCCTTGTGCTGCCCAGGTAACCCCTCCAGCTTTGACAGACTAGAATGAAAAATCTGAATAACTCTGCAACAATGCCCAGTGTTTACATAAGGCTGGAACCAGTTCACTCTACAGTGTGTAGCAAAAATCACTGCACCTACAACTGCAGTTACTTGTCTGTGATTAACTTTAATGCATGGCTTGTACTTTGGGACTGCCCTGGGGAGCCTATTTCAGATCCCAGCCACCCTCTGGGAGGGTGGGGAGAACCTTTTCCTATAATATCTAACTTGACCCTCCTCCTGTGCTAGAACTCTTTTTCCCCTCTGAGAGGTGCATCCCGTCACATGTCAATAGATCAAGTGTTGTATAAATCATCCTGTGGTCAAAAATCACAAAATTTTTCCAATGACACAAACCTCTCCTATAGAGAGAGAGACTCCTGTAATGTTAAGGTGGCTCACTTGTCTGTTAAAAAAGGGGTTTTGTTAAACAATAGGCTACATTCTGTAAAAACAATCCCTCTTCCTAATGCAACTTCAAATCTGTTACCAAGGCACTTGTTTCAGTTTATCATTAGGAAGTAGATATACATTTCGATCATATTTTTCTTAGTTTATGTTTGATAATCCTTTTCTTCTTTCCTCTTATTAATTTTCATTGTTACAGTACTAGCAATGAAAACTGGGCTACATTTTGCTCATATTCACAGATCAAATTCCTCAGACTGTAAATCAGGCCATGTGCAACCATTTTTAAACATTAATTTTAGGAATAAAATAGCATCTTTTAATGGCATTATTTTATGTTTAATGTAACAACTGAAAATAATCACTCTATGTTTTTATTCCAATATTTTTATGACCATTCCTCCAACCCTAAAGAACAAATAACACCCATTTATGCTTCCTATGAGACTGGAGCTCTTTCTTGCTTTGCCATTGTATAAATACAATGATCCCATTCTAGATGCACATACTGGGGTTTACTTCAACCAACTTTAGCCCTCTGGAAGTGAAATCTGTTCCAAGGTGCCTTACACAATCCATAGAGGAAAGAGGCATTTGCATAGGAGCAATTGATCTATTTTAGGCATCCACCTTCTGCAAGGAAAACAACCAGGTGGTGTGAATGTCACCAGTGTTCCAAGCACATCACATAAATTATTTATTTGGATTAGTGACAGAATCTCCCTGGAAAACTAACCCTGTGTGCAAACATTAAAATCTTTACATTCCTTCTTCTTTTTAACTTAATATTTTACTTCCTGTAGTAATGGTACAAATCAAAAATCTTTCACCTCAGGAAATACAACTGACATCATATATTTTCTTCTGCCTTTCTCCTAAACACTCCACTGAAGTGAAAACAGATAAAGTGATGAGTGTTAAGGTCCCTTCCAGCCCAAACTATTCTGTAATTCCGTGATTTTGCCATATTGCCATTCCTGAAAGGGAGCAACCAAATGGTAGGATCAGACAACTTGTCGCAGCCTTGACTAGAGAACAACTAGAGGGCAGGATGTCTGATCTAAGGTTCTGTGGGTATTTAATACCTCTGCGGATGCTCCTCCTCAGCTTGTTGCAGAGGTCCATGCGGGGGTTCTCCAGGCTCTCCTCGATGGACCCTGGACTCTGCTCTGGGGACGAGAGCCCTCTGCTCAGGTCCAGGGGCACTTTGCTGCCCGTAGGTGGAGGGGAGGTGGCTGGGCTGTAGTTTGAGGTAGGACTGCTGGCTGCAGACGAAGCAGAGAGGTCAAGGGCACCGATCCTCGAGTTCAGGGGGGAGGTCAGGGACAGCTTTCGTGTTCTTGCGGGTGAGGAAGTCCTGGAGAGTGACAGTGGAGGAGGAGAAGAGAACTTGCGGCAGAGATGTGGTGACTTTCCATCAGCCAGGTACTCCCCTCTGTTGTTCTGACTGGTGGCAAAGAACAGTTCCAAAGACCTGCGAGTATGAAATAATCAAATAGCAACACTGTGACAAGAAACACAGAACAGGTTTAACTGAAAACACTTTGTGCAAATCTGCATGGCACTGCAAAATCTGTGTGACATTTAAGTCCTCAGAGCCAAAACCTGAGACAGACTTCCCTAAAAACTGATCTGCTCTTACAAACTAAAAAGTTTCTGCTTCAAAACTTTTTTTATAACTTCCTTCTTATAAATAAGCAGAAAATCACAAAACTAACAATAAATGGCACTGTGATACTTCTTTCGGAAAAGTATGATATGGCTCACCTGACAGGAATGGAGGTGAAGGGCCGTCTGTAGATGTCTGAGAGCTTTTCCAGGACAACAGCTGCCGTAGTGAATATGCGGTAGGTGTGCAGGAAGGTGTTCAGAAAATCGATGCTCAGAAACCTCAGATCTGTCAGTCGTTCCAAGAGGCGCTCGACGCTCGCATAGCGGATTTGGGGCACTTTGCAGGAGTTCAACGTTTTGCTGAAGCAGATGTCAATGTCATCTCTATGAAGACGAGCATCAGATCTGCAAACAAACCCCAAATTTGAAACATTTTATCAATGAGTGGTTATGGCAAAGGAACTCTATGACTTTACCTGCTCCCGTCAACACAAGAGGTAGCAAATATATTTATATTATTGTATTTCATCGATGCAATAAAACTCTTTATCTGTGGTGATACCTGCTTTCATAACTAAGAGAATTTAAAATTTATTTTTGGTAGGTAATTAATTTATGTTAACAGCCTAAGAAATCATTAATGATGCTTAAATTTCTGAAACGGAACAGATGGCAGAATGGTCCCCTCTTGTCTCTTTCAGGCTACCATGGCCTGTAGTTCAATATTAGTAGAATCTCACTGTAGAATAACAGTGAACTGATTGCAATGTGTTTCTGCTGGGATAAAGCTTTATCTAAATTACAGTAATGGATCCTAACAGAAGGCAGCAAAATTAATCCCTTAGCTAAGTTTAAGGCTCACCTGCAAATTAACACCTGCGCTCAGGCTCCAAGAATTACTTTTTGTTTTAAAAGAAGAAAGAGGGAACAGCATGAAAGATCTCAAATTTCAAAGCAATAACCAGGAAGAATCGTTTTTTCAGTGAAAAAGAAAAAAAGGAACAATTTTTGCGTGGTCATCAAACCAAAAATAATTCATATAACCCTACCGAAAATGGTTTTTTTCCCCTCAAATTCAATTTTCCTTAATTTTATCTAGCTGAAGGCTTAGTTTGTAAAAAAAGAATACTAAGTAAAGCATCTTTTAATATGCTAGTTAAATTAAAAATGATTGAATTTTCTCAGAATACATATCAAGATATTTTACACAGTTCTACACTGTATCACATAAAAGAAACAATAAAATATCTTCTTTCTTAGGTTGGGCTCTCAGAAATGTGGCAATTTTGTTTTATTTCATTCAATGACATCTGACTCTGAAAGACAATGTGTGTTGAAAATCAGATAAGTAAAATTTAAGAAAGAGAATGCCAAAGTTGTGCCTGTTGTTAGGATCCTGTATGGCTTTTAGAATTAAAATTTCGTTCTCTTGACAATGGGATTAAGATCTTGCTGTACTCATGTACTTTTAAAACTTGTCACGTAACAGAAGTGTTTACACACACTGGAGAGTTGCTGGAGTAAACCAGAAGACTGTAAAATGCCTTATTTCCTGGGATCAAGGGTATGTGCCCTAACAGTCTATTCAAGGATGTTTTCTTTTTCCCATTTCTAAGCACAAAGAAAGGAGAGGAAACAATTACAAAAGAGGCATTTGAGAAACAAAGAGATGTGATAGATAACAGTAGGAAAGGAAATAGATATCTGTCTATCCCTATGTTTTATTCATTAATACTTATATTGGATAATAGTAGGCAAAACTCATGTAAACTGAGGTAGACAGAAGGTCCAAGAGGTAAGGTTTTGTTGGAAACTTGGAAGCATGTACTGAAAACTGCTCTCTAGAAATAAAAATTATTTATTACAACAAATAATTAAAAGAATTTAAAGGTGAAGGAGGCACGTTTAAAAAAATTACCTTGGTGTGATCACTTAAAATTACAAGAGAAAATAATTTTTTATCAGAAATAACAGAAACAAAGAAAACATAAACTTTGGCTAATATAACAAAATATCTTGGAAAATGGCACTTGTCTTCAGTCACATAAATTCTCCAGACATTTTAAAATATATTCAATAAAATTATGAGTGGTATGACAGAGGAAAGCTAACTGAGAATAAAATCATTCATCTGAGGCATAACTGAAGCCAACTTCACAAATAACAGAAAAATCCAGGCTGTGATCCAACACCATGAATTAGGAGTTTACCATTCTGAGTGATCCCTATCATTCCAAGAAAGGGATTTGAAAACATATGTTTTGGGACATAAAATTTATTCCATTCAACAATACTGGGGAAAAATAAATTAAACTCTTTTATTTTCTGAATACACATTTCCTTTGTTAAAACTTTTATTAAAAAACCACAACAAGCTATTTTGTTCACTGGGGGTCGGGGGGGAAATGTTGCACTTACTTGATCATATGTGGCACTGTGACTTTGGAGTTTTCTTCAAACACTATTGTCATTAACCCATTGCATCTTATATTATCAATGCACTGTGAAAATAAACATTGAGAACTGTTAAAATGAAAATACAGAGTAAGGAGACTTATTTCCACACTTTTCATATCTCTCTAAATGCAGCTTTTACAGAGTATGGGTTGACCGGCACAAGGTGTTTTCACAAATGAAAGGCAGTGATACAAGAATTACAGTGGACATGCTTTTTCAGCCTCTGCCTCTCAAAGTATTCAGCTCAGAATCCTTTTTTTTTCCCCACATTATTAAGCATTTTGAGTTGGAAGTGATATTTCCTCTGAAGCTCCTTTGAAAGGGTGGAAAATTCATTATCCTTAGTGTTTCCTGAACGAGTGTAAGCTTAAAAAATCAAGACCCCAAGTCAAAATACTTTGAACAGCAATGGATACACTAATACCTTACCCTTTATTCTGGGCAAAAGACCAGAGAAAAACACAAATAGATTCTAGAAACACACTTGTATATACAAATTGAAGTGATGCTTATCGTCAAACACAAGTGTGAAAGTGCTGTCCAAGCCATTCCCAGCAAATTCTTGTATAAATGTTTTGGGCAAGGAATTAAGAGGTGGTGTTCTTTTACATAGTTCAGACGTGTCCAGAGAAGGGAATGGAGCTACATCTCCACAGCTATAAATGTAAACCATGATCTATGTAGCTATATGTGGTTTTATTTAAATTCAAGGTTTTAACATCATTTGAAAAGTTCATCTGTAATAACTAACCATATGATTTGATCAAAGTGTTGCCTAAAAGCAGTGACAAAAACACATCTAGCAAAACACATAATTTCCCCATTTTAATTTTAAATATTTCAAAGGAACCCTTTAGCATCAGTATGATATCAGATGGCTTTTTAAATTTATTATAATTTAGGTTAAAGACAGACTTATTCCTGGCTGTCCCATGTTCCAGGCCAGTTCCTGAACAGTCTTTTCTCCCCAGCAAATAATTCCAATAATTGTACATGTCAATGGAGCACCATAATTTGCTGAAAATCTATTTTGTCAAAAATTCTCCAACCATGTCTGTCTGTAAGACAGAGAGTTGCAGCTCATAATGTATACTGAGATTTTTCTTTTCATACTCTTGTTCTTTCAAAGATGTTATTCCAGCAGAGAGTAACTCAGAATACTTATTTTAAGCAATTTCTACTCTTTATGATGATGATTCATCTGGAGATGTTGCCAGCAATGACAGCAGCTTTAGAAATGTATCACATTCAACACTGATATTTCTCTAATCAGCTATTACTCTTTAAATAAATAAAGGATAGGACTTGAATTCAGGACTATGAGATATCTATGTACTTGTTGTTCATATGCATACACACACACACACACACACACACACACAAGCCTATTTAGATCTGCTTAGCTGAAAGTTCAGATTTTCCATAGTGCATTCAACTTCTTTCCCCAAATAGAATCCTGATAAAATTTTGTCTACTATATTTTTAACTAAAAGCACACACACACAAAAAATTCTTGACATTAAAATACTTCAAATAACCTTTTTTCTTCATTTACAGTTCCTGCACACTGTCAGAATGCTCAACACTATTTATAATAGTTTGTTAGTATTCTTTTTGGTGGAAAACAGAATTTATCTCATTTTCTCACTACACTGTTGATCTGATACGGCATCATTTTCACTCTCAGGACTCTCAGGTGTTTTTTGATTTATATAAAAGTCATGAACAAACCAGTACTATCCTTCTTCTTAAATCAAAATACATATCTGATGGGCTCTTCTTAGACATAAAAATTATTACCATTAGTATTATGTTTGTACATGGATGATTTTGTAATTTATATCCCATCTCTGTCATTGAGAAATATACTTCACTGGTGACTCAAATACAAACACAGAATTTTGAGGAAAACAGGCAGCACTAAGGGGTTTTCATACAGAACACAGCAAATCAGCCCTCAAGAAATCAGCATCCGGGTCTCGGAATGGTTTTCAGAAATACAGAATAAACTAAGATCTCAGTGCAAGCATGAAAAAGAATGCATTGAACTACCTGACTGATATCACTTGTCCACGCAGCTTTCTCCTGTCGTGATGGGGCTAAAAGGACAACAGTAAAAGGAGGAGCATCCGCGGGTTCAACTATAAGTTTGAAATCAAGGTGTCCAAATACCTGTCCAGAACCTTTTGCTTTACAGCCAGAGGAGGAAAAAAAAAATCAAAATGTGAAACTTCAGAGCACAAGACAAATAAAAAAAATGGTTTCATTTAAAACAAAAGTTGCTTTAAACATCACCCAGACAAAGAGCAAATCCAGTTGGGGATCCAACAACTCATTTTGTTTTTCAGATACAAAAGTAGTGGAGTTGCTACACTAATTGCTCCTAAAGATACCAAATAAGGCTAACTTACTTTTAATACTTCTATGCTGATATATCCTCAGCATACTAGAAATACCACTGAAATTAATGAAACTATTTCCACAATTCAAGTGCAAAAGCTGAAAAACTGCAGGCTAGAAGCCAAAATGAATAACAATAAAATCAGCTTGAGTCTGTGTTTTGTTAATCCATTTGAATAAGCTCACAGTTCAGACTTGTAGGGAGTCCAAGATAAAAACTTTACATGAATTCTGCTATTTCATTCAACCTCCCCATATATTTCAGAAATCCAATTATCTACTGCTTGTTTTGAGGCTTTTTTTTTCTTTCCGAGATCCTATGGGTGAAGCTGTATACAAAAGTCATCAAATAATTTCTCACATTCCTTCAGCCCATCCTCTTGAAAATCCGATCTGGGATGTCAACAGCAAGAACATATATAACATAACAAACCCTTATCTAAGCAAGCATGTCCATTATTGAAACATTCACTGTACTGAATCAGTTTTATACTGTATTCCTCTGGTTTCATGCAGGGGGAAAACATATCACTTTGCTCTTATAAAAACAAAAACAAAAAAGGTAGCAATTTTTGGAAACTAGAAACTGTAATTACCACAAACAGCTGAATTTAACTTACAGTCATCGTCACTGGCATCTGTCTCCTCGATCAGTGTGCACTCTATTAAAGACAGAACACCTCCTGTCTATGAAAACAAAGAACAATTTTCACAAATTTTGTTATCTGTTCCCATTTGACATCATAGTTATTTTTAAACTTTGATACAACTTACCCTAACATTTTACATTACTCAGAGCTGTTAGGAAGATAGAATCAATTTCATGACCGTAGCGGGTTTCTGTGGCTGGGATTTGGTAGTGGGGGGACTACAAGGGTGGCTTCTGTTAGAAGCTGCTAGAAGCTTCTCCTGTCCAATGGAGCCAATGCCAGCCGGCTCCAGGATGGACTTCCTGCTGCTGGCCAAGGCTGAGCCATTGAGGAGTTAACAGTAACACCTCTGTGATAACACATTTAAGAACAGACAGTTGTGGCACAGAAAGAATTCCAGCCAGGGAAGAGCAGAGTGAGAACAAGTGAACAACAATGCAGATACCAAGGTCGGTGCAGAAGGAGGGGCAGGAGGTGCTCCAGCCACCAGAGCTGAGGCTCCTGCAGCCCGTGGTGCAGACCATGGTGGGGCAGCTGTGCCCCTGCAGCCCATGGAGGACCATCGGGGTGCAGAGACCCCCCTGCAGCCCATGGAGGAGGCCATCCTGGAGCAGGTGGATGCATGAAGGAGGCTGTGACCCCGTGGGAAGCCCAGGATGGAGCGGGGTCCTGCCGGCAACCTGCAGCCCATGGAGAGGGAAGCCCACACTGGAGAAGGTTTTTCCTGGGTAGGACTTGTGGCCCTATGAGGACCCACATTGGTACAGCTCATTCATCAAGGACTGCACCCCATGGAGGAGTGATCCATGGGACAGCAGTTTGGGAAGAACTGCTGCCCAAGGGATGGACTCATGCTGGAGAGGTCCATCAAGGACTGTCTCCTGTGGGAGGGACCCCACGGGTGCAGGGGAAGGACTCCTCTCCCTGAGCAGCAGGACTGACTCTAACCTCCATTCCCCATCCCCCTGCACCACTGAGGGGGAGGAGGGAGAACATGGAAGGAAGGAGAGGTGGGGGGAAGGTGTTTTTAAGACTGATTTATTTCTCACTCTTTGGCTCTTGCCCTGCTAGCAATAAATTAAAGTACTATCACCGCTTTGAGTCTGTTTTGCCTGTGAAGGTAATCAGTAAGTGACCTCTCCCAGCTGTTATCTCAACTTATGAACCCTTAGCTGGTTTTTTATCTTTTCTCTCTCCTCTGTCCAGTTGCAGAGGGAGAGCGATAGAGCAGCTGGTATCTAGCCAGGGTCAACCCACTACAATCACGCACATTTTTTCTTCAAGACCTAAAACCAGACAGATTAAATATAATGGTTTTCTTAATCCAGTAGTACAACATACATTTCTTTCACTTTTACCACACTGTAATTCATGTCACATACAGACTTGTACAGAAGTTCCAAAAAAGTTAAACAGAATTTCATCTTCTCCTGCATTTAAATGAAATAGATACAAGATTTTTTTAAAGGTTCTATTATGGTCTAATTATTTTGCAAAGTGCTTGAACTATTAAGGATGTGCAAAGAGAGAAAGCACACAAACAGTCTTAATAACCTCCCAGAATGTGTAATTAAAATTCTATTCAACATAATCCATTCTGTAAACTACCAGCATCTCTTTATCCACAAGCCAGCCCTATGAAAGCCTGTTTTCAGCAAGCCTAACTAGATTGTTCTTAGATGACATTTCAGTGTAAGAGAATGTGCTGTCCAGGAACACAGAACTGACTTTCAAAATTAATTTTATTAGAGCTCTGGAAAATGTTCTTTAGCAATTCTGCAGGGTTGTACTGGCTGATTTATGCACTGAAAACTGACTTATATTCAGTGCTACATACACTGAATTTATTTACTGCTTCATATGATACATCAATGCCTTATTCCTAACTCCTAGCTTATTGGAATCAACTGGTTCCAGAAAAAAACCCCACAGTTAGTAATAACATTGGCTGAATTCTATTATTTGAAATCAAAGGACAAAGCAGTTCATAACTGTGTATCATCCCACTTCTGTTTATAACCCTACACGCAAACCTCAGTGTAAAGCCATAAAATAACAAAATATTGACATTTCACCAAAGATGCGTTTTTATTGTGTATCTTAAATCATATTGTAAAGTCCATACCTTGAGAAGATGCAGTTTTCCTCCTGAACTTCTAGTACAAATTAAAAAATGTTTTGTAAACAAGAAGCACTGCCTTTCTCCTTCTTTCTTCAAAGACAATGACCCCAGGCGAACTTTACTAAGCTTTCCCCTCTCAACTGAAGGGACTTGGATAAGGGAACCTGATAATAAAGATGCAAAATTTACTGTATTAAAGTAATATTTGGTAGGCAGTGTTTAAGTTAATGCATTCAATATTATTATGTTAATAAATGCAACTCTTCTTTCTAGTATCAATGTATATCAGTGTCTCTCTGAAGCACAAGTCAATCATTTTTTTTTTGCAAAAGTTCCCTTTGTTTTTTATCATAAATAGATTCAAACAAGTACAACTAATACTTAGGTGCATGGCAGGATTAGATCTTGGTCTAATTATGCAATTAAACACACTAACAGCTCACTGATCAGAAAATATAGCTGAGCAGCAAACAGCACTTTTGACAGCTACTAGACCTGCAAAAGACAAGTCACAAGTCAAAGAGACAGAGAATGGAAAGAACATGTTTTGAAGGAAAGGAGTTTGTTGTATGTGCATGAGCCTGTGTGCAAGAGAGATGGAAATGAAGCAGATTTCTTCTGATTATCTTGTTCTGCATAATTTTCAGTGCTCCACAGCTCATCTAAAATGTGTTACCAGTAAAACACTTCTGGACTAAATTGAACCTTCTTATATAAGTCTCAATTTGTTCTTGCAGAGCTCCAGGCTTGGGACAGCTCTGCTCCTCTGCTGTTTCATACCTCAGTCTATGACCCACTTTCCCAGATTGATACCACCATGTGTATCACCTCCAAATTTGGAACTGGAGTTAAATTTGGTGGTGCAGTGCAACTCCTCTACATATCGAAGGGAAAGATTTCTATATCATACAACTTGCTGTGAGCAGACAGGGCAGCCAAGAGACCTCCTAATCTCATTCCCACACATCTATCCTCACTATCACCCTTACACTGCATCTTATTCCAATTTTAGCCAGCTAACAGAGCTAAACCAGCAGGAAACTAATGTACAAAGAGGTAGCTGACTTAGCTCCCTGGTAGGAGCAAGGTCAGAAGGGCATCAGAGAACTGGTGGTACAAAGGCAGCAGGGCTTTGACCTGCCTTTTCTGAAGGCAAGACGACATGGACCAGCAGAGCTGCACCAAAGCTCAAACTTAACACAATGCTAGCCTGAAAGAATCATCCATGAAATATTAGATTAGTAATTCTTACTCTACACTGTCAAAAGAATTATCCTGCTCAAAGTTCCTAAACTAGCAAATGGAGAAATTGAGGTAACTGATAAAGCTGATAGTTATCTACATTTTTCTACACTTATCTCCCTCTTTGTATTTAATTAGTTTTAAGTTACTGATATATAAACTTCTACTGACATGGGAAAATACACAGCAGTAGATCTGCCACGGAACAGTGTTCTCTGAAAGCCATTTCACACTTAAACTGAACATGTACAACACGATTTGTGTCACCGTAACAAAACAGTGGAGTAAAGTTGTGCTCTAGGACTCTGCAAAGGAATATGGAATATTTTAGGTTCACTTAAATTCTGACCAAACATCATAAATACACTCTACCTGCCTCAACTTTGAGGGCGAGGAAAGAGATAATTTCCATGTGTTGGAATTTACCACCGTACACTGACCTCAGAGAATCTCTGCCACCCTTGCCATCAGGCAGATGGAAGAGACCAAGTAGATGGGAGGGAATGGAAACAGGACCCTGGTTAGTGAGGTAAAAGAATCCCCTCTTGACACCCATCACCTCCCCAGGTAGCCTTAAAGAACAGGTATGAGGCACTGGACCCAGAGAGTCATTCAAGAAAAAGATCTGGAGGGTCTCCTGGTTGCACCCTGTCTCTAGATGGATTACAACCGCAGCTACTAAGAAAAACGGAAGAGTAGTTGTATTTGGTGGTTCCCTTCTGAGGGGAACTGAGGGGCCTGTATGCTGACCAGACCCATCCTACAGGGAAGTCTGCTGTCTTCCTGAGGCTGGGGTGAGGGATATTAGCAGGAGACTTTCCGAGCTAATTCAGCCCTCTGATTATTATCCACTGTTGGTAGTACAGGTTGGCAGTGATGAATGAGATTGACAAAAGAGGTACTAGGACAATTAAAAAAGTCTTTAACACTTTGAGTCAATTAGATGCTGGGACAGGAGCACAGGTGGTGTTCACCTCAATTCCTGCACTAGCAGGGATGAATGAGGAAAGGAAGAGGAAAATCCACCTCATCAACAGGTGGCTAAAGGTGCCATCAGCAGGATTTTGGACTTTTTGATCATGGGGCAAAATTTATGGTACCAAACCTGCTAGAGTCGGGTGAGCTTCATCTGTCTAGCAAGGACAAAAGAGCCCTAGCATATAAGTTGGGCTTTAGGCTAGGTTTGAAAGGCGAAAGGGTTGAAACCAGGCTCTCCAGAGATGAACCTGAGGGTGGAAAGCCAGAGTTAAGAGTGAAATCAGCAACCCAGCTGAAGTGCACGTACACCAATGCACGCAGGGTGGATAACGAACAGGAGGAGCTGGAAACCATCGTGCAGCAGGAAAGCTGTGATGTAGTTGCCATCACAGAAATGTGGTGGGATGAGTGGCATGACTGGAGTGCTGCCATGGATGGCTACAAGCTCTTCAGAAAGGACAGGCAGGGTAGGAGAGGTGGAGGGATGGCTCTGTATGTTAGAGAGTCTCTTGGCTCTGTAGAACTTGAAGTCAGTAATGATAAGATTGTGTGCCTGTGGATCAGAATCAGGGGAAGGCCAACAAGGCTGACATCCTGGTGGTAGTCTGTTACAGACCACAACCAGGACTAAGAATTATTCTGCAAGCAGCTGGCAGATGTCTCCAAATTACCAGTCCTTGTTCTTGTGGGTGACTTTAACCTGTCGGATGTCTGCTGGTAACACAGCAGAGAAGAGGCAGTCTAGGAGATTCCTGGAGAGTATAGAGGATAATTTCCTGTTACAGCTGGTAAATGAGCCTACTGGGCTGGGGCCCTGCTAGACCTGCTATTCACAGAGAGGGGCTGAGGGTGGGTGGAGGCCATCTGGGGTACAGTGACCACAAAATGATAGAGTTTTCACTACTTGGTGAAGTTAAGGATGGGCGTCACCAAAACCTCTACCCTGAACTTCTGGAGGACAGACTTTGGCCTATTCTGGAGGCTGATTCAGAGCGTATTTTGGGTAACAGCCCTTAAAAACAAAGGGGTCCAGGAAGGATGGACATACTTCCAGAAAGAAATCCTGATGGCACAGCAGCAGGCCGTCCCAGTGTGCCGAAAGGTGAGCCAGTGGGGAAGATGACCAGCCTGGCTGAACAGGGAGATTATGCAGGAAATTTGGGAAAAAAGAAAGTCTACTGCCTTTGGAAAAAAGGGTAGGCAACTCATAAACATTTAGGAATGTAGTTAGGTCACGTAGAAAGAAAAGTAGAGAGGCAAAAGCACAATTTGAACTTAATCTGGCCACTTCTGTTAGGGAGAACAAAAAGTGTTTCTACGAATACATCAGTAGCAAAAGGAGGGTCAAGGAAAATCTCCATTCTTTGTTGGACATGGAGGGGAACACAGTTACCAAAGACAAGGATGAGGCTGAGGCACTTAACACTTTCTTTGCCTCAGTTTTCAACAGTAAGACAGGTTGTCCTCAGGACAACTGGCTTCCTGGGCTGGTAGACAGAGACAGGGAGCCGATCAGACCTCCTGTTATCCAGGAGGAAGAAGTTAGTGACCTGCTGAGCCACTTGGATCCTCACAAGTATACAGGACCAGATGGGATCCATCCTAGAGTGATGAGAGAGCTGGCGGAAGAGCTCACCAAGCTGCTCTCCATCATTTATCACCAGTCCTGGCTCACTGGTGAGGTCCCAGATGTGATGCCTGTCCACAAGAAGGGATGGAAAGAAGAAGTCAAAAACAACAGGCCTGTCAGCCTGACCTCAGCGCCTGGCAATGTTATGGAGCAGATCATCCTAAATGCAATCACACAGATGGACGAAGAATCAGACCCAGCCAGGAGGAGTTTAGGAAGGGCAGGTCCTGTTTGACCAACCTGATCTCCTTTTATGATCAGCTGACCCACCTGGTGGATGAGGGGAAGGCTGTGGATGTGTCCACCTGGACTTCAGCAAAGCCTTTGATACCATCTCCCACAGCACACTCCAGGAAAAGCTGCAGCCCATGGCTTGGACAGGGGCACTCTGTGCTGGGTCAGGAACTGGCTGGAGGGCCGGGCCCAGAGAGTGCTGGTGAGTGGGGCTGCATCCAGCTGGCGGCCGGTCACCAGTGGTGTTCCCCAGGGATCAGTGCTGGGCCCTGTCCTGTTTAACATCTTTATGGATGATTTAGATGAGGGGATTGAGTCCACCATTAGCAAATTTGCAGATGACACCAAGTTGGGGGGGAGTGTTGATCAGCTGGAAGGCAGGAGGGCTCTGCAGAGGGATCTGGATAGGCTGGAGAGTTGGGCTGATTCCAACAGGATGAGGTTCAACAAGGCCAAGTGCTGGGTCCTGCACTTTGGCCACAACAACCCCTGCAGCGCTACAGGCTGGACACAGAGTGGCTGGAGAGCAGCCAGGCAGAAAGGGATCTGGGAGTTTGGATTGACAGGAGGCTGAACATGAGCCAGCAGTGTGCCCAGGTGGCCAAGAAGGCCAATGGCATCCTGGCCTGGATCAGGAACAGTGTGGCCAGCAGGACCAGGGAAGTGATCCTTCCCCTGTACTCAGTGCTGGTGAGGCCACCCCTGGAGTGCTGTGTCCAGTTCTGTGCCCCTCAGTTCAGGAAGGATATTGAGGTGATGGAGCGGGTCCAGAGACAAGCAACAAGGAGAGAGTCTAAAGAAGGGCAACAAGGCTGGTGAAAGGGCTGGGGCACAGGCTCTATGAGGAGAGGCTGAGGGAGCTGGGGTTGTTTAGTTTGGAGAAGAGGCAGATCAGGGGAGATCTCATCACTCTCTACAACTCCCTGAAAGGAGGTTATAGCCAGGTGGGGGTCGGTCTCTTCTCCCAGGCAACCAGCTTGGACAAGAGGGCATGGCCTTAAGGTGTGCCAGGGAAGGTTTAGGTTGGACATTAGAAAGAAATTCTTTACAGATACAAAGACTGGCCACTGGAATGGGCTGTCCAGGGAGATGGTAGAGTCACTGTCCCTGGAGGTTTTTAAGATGAGACTGGATGTGGCACTCAGTGCCATGGTCTAGTTGGCAGGGTGGTATCAAGTCATGGGTTGGACTTGATGATTTTGGAAGTCTTTTCCAACCTGGTTGACTCTGTGATTCTGATTTGGTCCCTTAGATCCAAAGGGACATTGCAAGGCCAACAGATGCGTTTAAAACTTCAAAACTGCTCAAACAATTCCCAGCACAAAGTAGTCTGTTTAATTTTTCTCCTAAAATTCTATCTACACCTTTAGGGTGCTTTGCTTATATAATAGCAGTATCTATAAATATGAAATGCTTACACACATAATTTCACAGGTAACTTTTATTTTATTTATTTATTTTTAGTTTCGTTAGAATGCTTCCAGGACTAATATATTTTGTTCTGTTATAATGGGCTGAAGGTTAAATTATGTTCTTAGACAGAGGTGAAATATTATTTTTTAATAAGGCAACACAAAATAAACTTTTTAAAAGCAGGAAAGAGAGACTACATTTTCTCTATTTTATATTTACAGAGAGAATAATTTATATTTACAGAGAGAAACACATCACCTATACATACAGCAGGGCTGACATCAAGGAAGGACCTTGTGCATTCCCATCAGGCTTTTGTGATTAACAAAACTGGGCACTGGCTCACTGTGCACTCCACTACAGATTTCCTCTTAAGGAAAAAAATGGTCACAATTGGCCAATGTACAGTTGCAATAAGCAAGTGAAGCTAATTTTAGGACATTCATTAAAAGTAGAGTTTGGACAATAGTGTAATCTTTTATTCAGCTACAGGCCTAAGCACTTTCAGTACTTCTTTGCTGCCAGAATAATCTCACTGTCAGCCTTTGTCCAATCCCAGGAATATAAAATTTTAGATATAACTGCCTGATTTAGCAACTCAGTTTGGCTTTCTCCATTTTGGAGTTTGGAGGATTTGTTACTTGTTTGGTTTTTTTAGTGTTCAGGTGGTCAAACACTGGCAGAGGTGGTTCATTCAGAGAGGCTTGGGAGTCTGCAACCATGGAAACAACCAAATCCTGACTGGACATGGCACAGAGCAACCTGCTCCAGCTGACGCTGCTTTGAGCAACTGAGACTAGAGGGGATCTTAAAGAAAATTTTCCTTAATTTTCTGTGTTCCTGACAGTAAAAACTGCATCTAAGTATGAGACAGGGAAAATCGTCACCCTACTGTCATGGGCTCCATTCAGATTTCTGCACTTACACAGAATCACAGGCAGTGGGTGTTCCACAAGATAAACTGATACAGCCTTCTGTAACATACACTTTTGTCCACTGTCTTTTGACTGTATGCCTAGAAATAAATCTGAATTTACTTTACTGAAACCGTGGGTTTGGCCTGGGTCTAACACTCCAACAGTAACCTTGTTCAGACTTACTCTCACAGAAAAAACTGCCAGTTTTATTGGTGAAACAGTGAGGACAAAGACACAGACAAAACACTACCAGTCAGTCTTAAGGGGGAAAACCCAATATATATAAATATAAAATATTGTAATAATACTGGCAAAAAAAAATCTAAAATTCAATTAAATTGCATGGTACAAGTCAATATAGGCTAATCGCAGCCCTACAATTTTTTTGGCTGTGGATACGACAACTTGATATTTTCCTCAAAGCCATATTCATAACTCTTAAAATACCTCAGAGATAACGAATGAACATATTTAATGAAGAAACAGGTAAATTAATAGTGACTGTTGTGAGAACGATATTGGGAGTTGTTATAGAAAGTTTTGGCCACATAACTACAGAAACAGTACAAGATACTTTTCAGAATATATACAAAGCCTATTAATCACCAACTGTGATACCATTAAATACCAAATGTTCTGCTGAGGTTATTTGGAAAAGGTTTAATGAAGGGATGCACCTAAATTACATTCCTAATCTTTCCTGACCATACTTAATGCTTTTCAGCACAAAGGAGCAAAATCCAGTTGAAATCGTATATAGTTACTGTGTACAAATCCACCAAATTGTTTTAAGAGATCCAGAAGTAAATTACTGTATAAATGGAAGAAAAAGCAGCAGGTAAAATAAACCCCACCAAATATGAACTGTAACCAGTTTGCAGTTCCTGGTAAAAAGTGACTCTTATTTTAAATGGAAAAGTTATTCTATCACAGTTTTGTGGAACTTTACAACAAATCCCACCTCTTCAATAACTAGTTTTTCAAAACTGCCATCAATAGACAGAAGGGAAAACAGTGTTTTCCTCCACCCCTTTGAAGACCACAGTCCAGGCAGAATGTACTTCAGTGTCCCGCGGGGGCTTTACTATTCATGTGCTGCTGTTTTCCAAGGTTCCTAAAGACAACAGCACAGAAGTGATGTCCAACTACAGCCCAAAATTACCTGACTTCAGGTCATTTTGTGACTTACTCTCCACGGACCACGAGCAGATTTAGTATGCTGGCTGTGCCCAGTGTGGCAACGTGGCTGATGATGGCAATGTGAACCCTGCTGGTTTTAATGCAGGTTTTTTCCATGATAATAGAGAGAGAGTTAAAGAAGAATGCCTTACCTTGGCGTATAAAAGTTTGGCTGGTGTCCAGTAATATGTCACAGCCTTCTACTATGGTTCTCTCTATGGCCAGATTCTTCCGGATATTCTCCGTGTCACTCACCTCATCGTGCATCACCCTGTTGGACACACAAAAAGGCACGATACATAATTTTTTCCTGAACTGGGCTGTACTGCGATGTCTGGAAGCTCCTCCTCCCTCAGAACTACATTGATGGAATGGAAATGAGTCAAAAAATTTCATATTTATGGTCTATACAGTTTATGAGATAAGAAAGATCAATCAGCCTACAATTCTTAATGTTCAGTGATGAATTAGTCGGATCAACAATGAACTCTGACTTATGAGATAAAGCCAACCCAAAGCTGACTTGTGCAGATCTTTTCCAACCAAATATTCTCCAAGAATATCTTTGGTGAATAATCCAGACAAACAAGATTTATATCCCAGAATTCACTCAGGTTTTCTTTGTTCACAGCAAAAAACATTGTTTCTCAGGGATGAGAACGACATTTCCCACTAGGCTGATGAGAGAAACATCTGGGAAGAGTCTGCAGAGTTCAGGGAAGAGCTTAATTTTGCAGGGAGCATCAGTTCTCAAAATATATCTGTAATTCCTGATTATCTGGTATTATTTGAAGCATATGTGAAAATCAGTTATTACATTAATGCACAAAAACTATAGCACAAGTTGAGAACTTGGGACTTTTCAAGACCCTGAATATTGAAAATGTCCTTTTTCTTTAAACTATATAAAATATATATTTCTCTATGTAAGGAAAACTGCTTTGTTCATAACCCAGGAGGAGGTGATTTATATAGTGATTCTGTTCTCCCCCAACCAAAGCTTGTATATTTATGTTAGCCAAAAAAAAAAAAAAAACAAAACAACAAAACAAAACAAAAAAACCAGATAAAATATTACATTAGGATATTTTTGTTATTTTTCATTATCTAATGTTTTGATTTTGGTAATTTTCTTTAAATATATACTTTTTTTTTTTTTTTAAAGGAACAAAACCAAATCAAAAACAACCAAAGAAAATAGGTTTTTCACTTCAAAACCTTTGACTCAAAATTATCAGACATAGTGTAGAAAAATCTTACCTTGAAAGTTCTTCTAGTTTGGATTTAGCAAATTCAAGGCTTTTTCGCTCAACGTGTTCATGTGGTGTGTGAGCCAGAAGTTCATGAAGTGTTATAATATATCTGGGAATCTTGAAACAAGTAAGGTAGAAAATCAGTAAATGAATACATACTTCCCCTCAATTTTAGTAGGATATGTGCATCTAATTTTGTTGTGACATTGAAAGTGCCAGCTGACCTGTATTTAGGTAAAATTCACACTCAGCAAAATTCTTCATTGAAAAATATGCAGTATTTCACTATTAAAGGCTACGGAGTAGCACAGGGACCCTTCAGAGTTTTTAACCAGAACTTGTCTGATAGAAGTTAAGAGAAGGAGACACAACATGGTGCCCAAGTGAAAAGTCATCAGCAATGACATCACCCAACACTTATGAACAGGACCCCCTCTCTCCCTCCCATGACCTTGTTTCAGCTCAACCAACCAACAGACATCCCAAAAACTTTAAAAGATACCAATTCAAAGATTAAAAAAGCATTGTTGCAGGTGCTAATGACTCCTTAGACTAACATGAATAACTGGCACTAACTGAACTGTCACTGATGTCCCTTTTTAAAAATTTTTACCCTATTTGTTTTGCCAAAAACTGAACAAACTGAGGGTGTTCACTATTCTCCTGATGAGTAAAACACTAGGTTAAATAAAACAGATACAAAATTATCAGGCCACTGTTTCACATAAATCCTAAAACAGCTGCACATATTAATCCAGGCAGACCACAAAAAAAAAATACCAGAAAGAGAAGTAAAGTTTTCACAACTTTTTCAATATTATTTTTCATTTTCCAAAGACCAAGTCACTGGAGAACAAAGTGAGGGAAAAGCTGCAAATGTATTCCTGGTAAAATGTTTGTGGCTGCTCTAACTTGCTATATGAAGTTTATCATCCTTCTCTGGACTTAATCAGAAGAGGTAAGTCAAGCAATTGTTTCTCAGCAATTTTCTTTTGGTGCTAGTCCTTATCTCACACTCCCCTCCAACCTACATAAGATTCTGAATAAAGATGAACCACTATATTTGGAGAAAAGACCTTTACAGGCAAAGTTTGGGTATAGTAACAAAATAAATTATAACTAAACTAATTTGCAGGAGAGTATTTTTAGTTAAGCAAGAGGAACCTTCAATCTATTATAATGCCAGTAACACAAAACAATACAACTAAACAGTAAAACCAAAAACAGTATACACAAAAAATACAGAGACTACCTGAAACATGGGGTAAGTAAGGAAAGTTTCCAGCATTCGCCCCTCACATGCTGGGTTGGCTTCATATTGCTTCAAGAGTTTGTCAAAATCTCTGTTTTGCTTACAGTTTGCCAGTACTTGTAGGCTATATTGATGATTTCGAACAAATTCTTGATATATGTTCAGCATTGGCAGCAGAATGTCAAATAAGTCAGCTAGAGAAAACAGAGAAATGTGCTTTTTTCCCAACTACCCATTTCTGGAAATACATTTTAAAAGAAAGTACTACTTTCTATGGTAGTGAATTACTATAACCAGTTATGTTTCCAATATACTGACATTTTAGAAGCATTAAATGTCTCTCTTTCACCTGCCAAACCATGGTTGTTCTGATTAGCTAATAGTCAGATACGTCACCAAAAAATAAGGGGCCCAAGTCTACTCAGTGCTTAGGGCAGAGTAATTCTCATATACAGACCATTACTGCCCACACGGGACTCCCACTACACCAGATTTTGTGGGTTTAATTCTGCAAATGCATTCCCTTTTAAAAAGCCATGTCTTTTTTTTTTTTAAATCCTTACTGGATTAAAAAAAAATAATATGCAATTTATACCATTAGAGAAAATAAGGTAACTTACCTAGAATTAAGGTAGGCCAGTTAGCTATTCTTGCTTTTAAGCCTTGGTGAAATATCTCATGAAGAAACATGATTGTTTCACTGAAAAACAAGTATTTAAACAAACAAAAAGACGATTTTGATTTTATTTTCTGATTAATAATTCACAGAGAAACATGTCTTTCTGATTAGTAGTACATTTTGCACTTTGCTAGGAAAAAAACAGAAGATAGTTATTGTTAAGGAAATAAGTACTTCCTTTTATGGCATTGTTTAAAAATTTTAGTTTGGTACTTCTAAAAAACACTTAGTATTTGATGTAGAAAGCATATTCTAACAGTGAAAAGGAAACCTGTCTCATAACTAAAGGAACATGTTCTATTTCTTAGAAGTTCGAGGTAGACTTGGTTGCAATGCCTATCCCATATCCACTGTGAGATGCCTGCTGGCTTATTTGTACATGGTCATTACAACAGTACTTGGATGCTTAATGAAAGAATCATTCTTTTTTTAATGATATGAAAAGACAAGTGAGAGCGAAGGAGACTCCTTAGGCAGAACAGAAAACAGAAGATTGAATATACTAATCTTCAGAGTTTTATCAGGATCCTATGAGGCCACTAAGTCAAATTTTGCACTCTTAAGAGGAAAAGAAACAGGAGGGTGGCAGAAAATTATGAGAAGTTCCCCAAGAGGCACAATTTGTCCTTTTTTTCCTCTAATACAGGAAGACATAGAACGTAAGAAGGTAAAGAGATTTTGCTGGTTTGAAACAGCACCACCAACAGCATCTTCGCCTTGGAGAGCCAGAAAACAAGGGCCAGACCTCACTAGTGTGAACTGAACCAGAATGGGAAGAAGCAGTCAGAGAAACTAAAATAAATAAATAAATAAATAAAAAACAAATTAAAGTAAAAATAAATAAATAAATAAATAAAACAAAACGAAAACACCACCACCACCGAAAGAAAGCCCCTGTACCTGTTGAGGAAAATGCTGCTGACATCGTCGTGGCTGATGGGCGGCTTCTTCGAGCTCGCAGCCATCCTGAGAGGCCTCAGGAAACAGTTCACAAGCACATAAAGCTGATGCACATACTCAGATTCAGCCTCCACCATGTTGAAAACTATCTGATTCCTTTTCCTCATGCTTTCTGCATGAGGAGAACAAATGTAATCTTGGACAATAGTTTTCCATTTTCTTCTACATAACCAGCCCCGCATAAAGCTCTGAACCTAAAAAAGGATCAAGCAGAACAAGAAAATGAGAGGAAAAAAAAGTTACACAACTTATCACAAGACCTTCACTGCAGAAATAATCCTGAAAATTAAATGCCATTGCTTAAAAATAAAAACATGTTCTTTTATTGATCTATAATTGTTCCAGAATTACATACATTTTCAATTTCTGTTTGTTAGGGGTCGTATTTGTTGCCAGGAAACAGACTGTAAAGATATCACATATATATTGGGGAACCTTTTACTGCTAGCTCGATGGTTGTACTGTTCCCATCAGCACAACACGTTTTTCAGCTCCTTTTACCTCCCCCTACCCAAATCTCTCATACTCCCAAAAGTATTGTGCAATTCTTCCAGGTAACACACTTCAAGACCTAACATCATTATAGACAGAATTCTGAAATAATTGTTAAACTTGGTTTGCTTTCTGTTTTGAATAGATAACCCCTATCATGTGTATTTAAAGCTAAGTATCAATATATTGCTTAGCATCCGACACCTATGCAACAAATTTATTATTCGAAAAGGCAGATTTTTGGCATTCTTAAAAAGCAGTTTTATATATGGAAAAATCTAGCTAAGCACAATACCTATTGAAGTTTCAAGTGGATTGAAGACTACAGAAGAGGTCTGCATCTGGTCACAGAAAATTTCATTGTGTCTGTGCCCTGATATGTGAAGATCATTCATCTTGAAAGAGAACTGCAAAATCTCACTGGTAGCAGTTTACTCTGAATAAAAAACTTTTTTTAAAAAAGGACCTAACTGTCTAAACAATCAACATGAAGAATGGAGTGAATTTCACACGGATTGAAAGCACTTTTTCCAGGTTCTATTACAAAGGAAAATTCACACTCAGTTACTAGCTCAGTGCTGACCCTGGCTCAGACTGCACAACCCAGAAAAAGACAAGAACTAGGTCCACATTCCATAAAGGGAATTTAGGAGGCTGAATATGGTTAGAACAGGAGTAAAACTTAGGGGGCTAAAGCTGTACTTAAAAAACTGAATTCTACGCATGGTCACGCATCAGGATTTGTGGGACTCAGTGATGCGCACAGTTCTGGAGGGTGGTGATATCCAGCCTTAAGCAATATCCCCAAAAGCTGCACATGTAAACGCCATGCAGGTTGGGAACAGTTGTGTCCCTGTTATTAAAAACACTGGTCACAGTACCCCAGAACAGTCACTATCCTACTGTGTGACTGACAAATACACCAAGAAAATGCTTTCTGCATTTTCAGTATTTGTATTCCAGCTGCTGTGACAGAATGTAAGTCATCCTCTTACATCATCATAAACATTTTCATGAGAAAGGAGTACAAACCCCAAGATACAGAAATACACCGACCCTTCTCTCCTTAATCACAGAAGATTCCATATCTACCTTTTTAATCTTCTTAATATCTGGATCCTCATCTTCCTGGTTGCCTTGATAAGGTCGCATTTTTTCCTTTGTTTTATTCAGTGCTACAATCTGATAAAAACAAACATTCATTAAATGTTTCCCTGAGTTAATGAAACCTTTAGTTAGGGAACTGATAGAAAAATATTTTCCCCTTGCTCCACCCTGTTAAAGCTGCACAGAATGACAAGTACACATTTGGTCACAGGGACACGAACACCCTTCTCTTTAAACCATCATGGATCTTGGTCCAGGTGGAAGGAGGAACAGAAGAGAGCAGGTTCTCCACTCAAAACCAAGTGTGTCTTTTGGGCTTTATCACCTTAAGACTGATAAAGTTCAGTGAATCAGAGAAGTTTGGAATAATTCTTAATACTATCAAAACCAAAGACTGCATGTTGGGGACCAAACTCCTCAAACCTGAAAGCAGGTAGGAAATAAGGCGATCGATAGTTCTGCAAAGCAATGTGGCATCTTAAACCCTCTGACAAAAAAAAAAAAAAAGGTAATTCAATCAGCAAACAGTCCCCAGTATTTCTAAGAAAAATATTTATCCAAGGGCTCACAGAGGGACTGTTACATATTAACCTTACTGGGTCCTGCAATTTTCACAAAATATTACAGAAATATTGAATGTTAATGCAAAGCACACAGCAAAATGTTATAACTCAGTCAACGCTTGATAGGTCTGGAACACACCTCTGACTTCAGCCTCTCGATTTCCGTGTCCTGGTCCTCCAGCTGGTGCCGGAGCTGGTTGGCCGCAATCTTCTCGGTCTCCACGATCTGCACGAGGTGGATGTACTTCTGCATCAGCACCTCCCTCTCAATCAGGATGTCTGAGTAGCTAGAAGGAAACACGTCCATGTTAGCTAAAATAGCCAAGTACTGTGTTTCATCTCCCTTTACGACATATGGACAGACAGACATCGCACCAGTGACAAGAAACCTGCAAAACATGCATGTTTGCCTTAAGATACAATGCATAGATTGATTATAAGCCGCCCATATCAAAATCACCAAATCATCCAAACTTAGAGTGTTTAATATCCTTTTTAGACACAGGTACTACCAGTACCCAGTTTTTAGTATCCAGTTACTAAGAGCAAGATAACTGCACTTTTTATGAGCTTCTAATTCTCATGCTAAGCCAAGGAATTCTATAAATCAAATTTATTTTATTTATTTATTTAATTTATATTAAGGGCTGCTTTTCCCTCATCTTTTGGGAGGACTTGGGGAACCATGTGGCACTTCATCAGAATTTTCTCCATCTGCCAAATCTCTTTATGGAAGAATTCCCATCAAAGCTGTAATTTTAGTGTGCTAAGAAATGTTTTATTCTTTAGGCCATTTTAACATTACTCAAATAAATACATTTAATCTAATCAGTAACAGGAACTATGGTGTCAGTCTTTTGTTTTTTTTTAGCTCTTGGGCTTTTTCTTGAAAAGGGATGGTATCCCTAGAGCAATCAAGTGCCACAATCATGCCAAAAGGACTGTTCCCAACTTCAGCTAAAAGGGAAACCACTTTCTTCCTGTGCAACACCTTCATCAGACTGATCTTGAAGCAACAAAATAGACAGACACATCACTGCCTTCTCCATCGGGTTTCAAGAAGTTTGTTCCTCTGAGAGGTAAGTAAACCTACAAGATAAAGACCAAACTGCAAAAAGCACAGCTGAAAGGGGTCCCTAAATCTTTGACAAGGGACCCCTCGCTATTTTATATCACATCTTTTTCCATTGTGGAGTTAGCACAGGATTTGACAAAAGGAATTTTTGAATTGCATATCTCTCCCTTTTAGATTTCCCTCTTGTTACAGCACTCACAAACTAATGAACATTTGCTATTAAATACCGTGAGGCATTTAAAAATGTAATAATGTACATACTCCACAGTTAATATTTTTTGGTAAATATTTACTTGCATTTCAATCAGTATTAGTGCAGTTATACACTGGAGGGGGGACCAATATTAAAAACAGCTATTACATTCAACACCTAACCTGAAAAGCAAGTTTAGATTTAAAATAATTAGAATAAGCTCCCAAAACTATCATAAAGTTTTTCCTCCTTGAACAGATTATTAAAAGAATAAGAAGTCAATTCTATTGCACTTACTATTTTGACTACTGCATTAGTAAACAATACGTTGGAAAAAGAAAGTTCAGGGAATCTCTTTCAACAAGTAAAACAACCTATATAAATAAATCTGTCATGAAGCAATACACTTATGACTTAACTGTACAATAAGCAGTAATGGAGTAAGAGACTTAGTTCTTTAAAACTGTTCAATAATACTCTTTTTTGTTTTCCAAGAATTCTGGTTTGGGTTTGTTTTTTTCTTCAGAAACCATAGTACTTAATCTCTTTGCACTGTAAAAGGTGTTTGCACATTACAAGAAGTGTCTGAGTTAAAATCATACTTAGCAGTAGTTGTTTCACAATGTTATGAAGATAAAAGTATATCTAACATATGTACTAAAATGCCTTCCTTGATTTACACTTAGTATACACAGTCTTTTTTACCTTAAACCAGATCCAGACAGGTTAAAAGTCCTCTTTCTCAGTTTATTATTTTCAAAAATTTCTTAAATTTTTGCTACCAAATGTTTCCAATACAGAATTTGACAGATTCAGTTTTGCTTTTATTCAAACTAAGGAAAATAGTAGTATACAGAATCACAAAGGATGAACTGCTGGCATTGTTATATATGATGTTCTTCTTCCACTTATTCATTTTCCTCCTGTAGGGAAAGAAACTTCATCTATATTTTTCATATTCTTTAAATGCAGTAAGCCAGACTTCCACAACCTTGTTTTACTTGGAATGAGAAACTTTGCTGTGTAAGGTTGAAGTTTTTGTTCTTTTGAGATATACTCGGAGTAATTTACTGAGGTGGTGGCTTTGGTTGTCTAAAATGTCAGTCTCAGCCCGGAAACCAAACATCATCTTCACTCCCATAATTAGCAGTATGAAGAGGAGTTAATTAGAAAAGCTTGTGTACACCTACACTAACTTAGAATAGGGTATCCATCTTCCTTCTCAAACCTGCTACTGGGAAAGGAAAAATCATAGGATTTTGGAATAAACTTCATGCACTTCCAACAGCCCTTTTCATCCATCTCTCTGAATGTGTGAGTAAAGATCATTCTGCCTAAATCTGCCAAACTGAATATCCAGGTAATTCCAAGGGGACATGAATACACATCTATACAACATCCTTGGTTAAAGAAAATTGTACCAAAGTGTTCAAATGTCAAAGGAACACAGAAACATGTAAGCAGCCAGCCTAGATTTGGTCCTCTGGCATGGGTGACAGTAACAGAAAAAAACAACCGCTGCAAACCACAGACTCCATGAACTGGTATTCACATTTTGTTGAGAGAACCAATTCTACGGTATGTAGTAAGTAAGACCCGAAGTCAGAGTGTCCTGAAAGCTGAGGCTGTATCTACTCACTACTTTGTAGAGACAGGCTCAAACCAGGTATTTCAGGAGCCCTACGCTCTAACTGACCACCACACACCACATGGAGACAGGGAGAAATGAAGAAAGTCCTGAGACAAAATGCTGCATCATTTAGGCCCTGTGAGAGCTGATATGCTCAGGAAATGCAGGAAACCTGGAGAAAGTTTAACCAGAGCTTTATTACTAAGGTTTCCCTGTGGTAGCAAGCCAAGATAAAAGTTCCAGTAGTGTTACCAGAAAATATAATTAATTTTTGTATGGAATTGAGACCAGAGTTAGGGTTCCCTGGATCACTCTATGCTAATTGTAAATTGGGTCTGGCCATATCAAATCACCCTCTTGAAATGCAGAATACACAACCTAATTCAGCTCTTTATGAAAACCAGGTTCTCGCAGTCTGGAAGGCAAAAGAAATTGCCTACATCTGTCCATACCACCTACCTTCAAGCAGCTACAGAATTTCTTAACAGAGGAGAAATAGCCTCCAGACAGGTTTTAAAGTGGCACAGTGACAGCCACAGCAAAGATGGAAACATCAGAAGTTCCAGTAGAACTTTAGCACTCCCCCCTATGACTCTTAGCAAAGTGACTTGGGAAAGTGCTTGGGGTGCACAAATACCATTGGCCTTTAATGAACTCCTGTGTCATACAGGATTTAAAAGGATACCAATGGTTGCCACAGTTAGGGGGCAGCATGAGAAGTCCACACTCAAAATGATTATCCTTTTAATTGAGATAGGGAAATGTCAACTGGAATGAAGAGTCTTTGGAAGGATGGACCCAACAACCAGGACACCCAAACCATGTCACTGGGAATGGGTTACTCCAGGGCCATTCGTGCGTGAGGAGGGGAACGCTGTCCTTCCATGTGAGAATGAGACTGTGTTGTAAGCGTATCTCATTAGCCAGTGTGTTACCCATCAGACTCAACCCATGATAAAACCAGCTGTTCCAATTGCCCCGGCACTCTATCCAAGAAAATCTGAGTAAAAGAATTCATCCACAAACAAACTGGAGCAGAATGGCACCTTACTGCATTATGCAAAACTGAGACAGAACTGAAGGGATGAGCAGTTAGGATTTGTAGGATCACAGAATGATTTGGGTTGGAAGGGACCTTAAAGCTCATCTAGTTCCTGCCACGGGCAGGGACACCTTCCACTATCCCAGGTTCCTCCAAGCCCCATCCAACCTGGCCTTGGACACTTCAGGGATGGGGCAGCCACAGCTTCTCTGGGCAAACTGTGCCAGGGCCTCACCACCCTCACAGGTAACAATTTCTTCCCAATACCGAATTTAAATCTCTTGTCTTTTAGTTTAAAACTGTTCCCCCTTGTCCTAATGCTCTCTCTCTATGTAAAAAGCTGTTCTCCCTCTTTTTCATAAGCCCCCTTTAAGGAAAGCTTATATGAGTTCACCTGTGCAGTGAACAGGGGTGTGTTGTGTGGATGTGAAGTGAACAGATCTGGAGGAATGAGATGGTTTAAAACTAAGCTGGCAAAACAAATAAACAAAGCATAATTCCTTTTCAAATCAGTTTCCCAATTAAGTCTGCACTTATGTTCAAAAGGGTGTTCAGTCCCACACCTGGTAAATTTAGGACTTTGAATAGGTTAAGGTAGAAAAGGCAAAAAAATTTAATGAATACTGCCACTATGTAGAAAAAAAAAAAGGCATTAAAAAAATCCCCTCAAAACATAGCAGAATTTATAAGCGAAAGTCAAAAGTATACCTCAGTGTATTGAGGGTGAAACAGAATTTTTCGTAAGAGAACAAGTTCTGGAACAAAGCCAAAACCAGGACTTCCAGATGCAGTCTCTGACAGAGGAATTAGGACTTGCCAGGAATAAATCCTCCAGCCCAGAAATGTAACTTAGAAGAAGCAAACCATACGTTGCCACCCTGGATATTACTGAGAAACAAAAATACTGAAATTTCAAATGAAATGGAAAGAGATGAAACTTGAGGATGGATGTGGAACTGATAATGGGGTCCCATTAAAATATACTGGATTGAATATCCCATTTACAACTCGGATGCCAACAATCTCTCCCGAATGAGGAGAGGGCATTAACAGTGGACAAAAACAATGGGCAATGTCACAGCAGAAAATCCTATAATTGTGTATTTGCATCCAAATAAAACATCTGTTTATCCAGAGTGGGACACGGGGTGCACTGAGATTCTAGCATCCTTTTTTGCAACAGTCTGTTTATAACTTGCAAAGTAAACAAAACACAGAATAAATTTTGATGGCTTCAAAGATGTATTTGGCAAAAAAAATAATGAAAAGCAGTACAAAATTAGATTTTCAGGATGTCAAACTAAGCAAAGAAAAAACCTCAACTACTTTGTCTCAACTAAAACATGGATTTCCATAACTACTCAGAGGATAAGACCCTCTGGAAAACAATTAAATATTTCCCTTTCTCTAATGCTGACATATTCACACAGAAATGCTCCCAGGCCTGTTTTCAATTTAAGGATAGTGAATATCTTCTCAATGTGTCCTAGAAGTTTTAAATAATTTTTAACCTGAGATACTACAAACTGATACCTTTCAAGGGCTACATAAAATGTCATTTAGCAACTGAAAACAAACACCAGAGAGCAGGGTCAGATACATCTTAGGCTGGGCTCAAATGAACACAGACACTGAAGAAGTTGCCAGAACTCATCCCATTTGTCGAAAATATGGACGAACTCAAGGAAAAAGGTCTACATCACGATGCAGGCAAAATTTGGTCCTTGAAGAAAATCTGTTTTGTTTTGTTTAATTAAACTGGTAAAAATAAAAAAAATATTAACAGTAGTCCAAAGCTATTATTTTAGCCTCTTTATTTATGCGAAAAGACCCAACGTGTGACACATTTATGGACTGAACTACCAGAAGAAAAATCTTAATCCGGTGTTTTGAAGCTCTTCTTGCTTACGCATCTTTTACATCAGGAAACAGAAAAAGAATCACAGAATCACAAATCACTTGGGTTGGAAAAGATCTCCAAGGAGTCCAATCTGTGACTGACCCCTACCTTGTCACCCAGCCCAGAGCACTGAGCGCCACGTCCAGTCGTTCCTTGGACACCTCCAGGGATGGGGACTCCACCACACCCCTGGACAGTCCCTTCCAAACCTGACAAGCCTTTCCAGGAAGAAATTCCTCCTGATGTCCAATCTAAACCTCCCTTGGCACAGTTTGAGTCTGTTTCCTCTTGTCCTGTCCCTTCTTGCCTGGGAGCAGAGCCTGACCCCACCGGCTCCACCCTCCTGTCAGAGAGTTGCAGAGGAGTTGCAGCAAGTATAAATTCATTCTGCAAAGAAGGAACTGCAGGATCCTGCTTCTCCTCAATGCCATTAACACAAGATGAAAAGCCATGCTCCTTTCTTCACTTGCTGTCAGTCACAGTCCACAAAACAAACTGACCCAGATCCAAGGACAAGGTGGGTCGTCCTCCTCTCCTCCTCCCTCAGCTACATAGACATGCTCTCTTGAGATGGGCTGAGTTCCAAGCCTCAGAGCTGCTCAAGACCTGAAATAATGTGTTCACCCAGAGAGATACCACGCAGAAAGTGGTTCACCTGTTACCACAACCCAGCAGGTGCTCCTCCTGGCAGAGGACAGCAACCCATTCAGTCAGATACCAGCACTAAGAAGAGGATGCAGATCCAAAGGCTGGATGACCAGGTGACACAAGACCTGCGGCTCCAGGACCTCATTTCACAAGCTCTAAATTAAAATCTACTAGCTGCTCGTGTTCATTTTTAATTAATATAAAGCTAAATCAGTTCTGTTTACATGGCTCCTGTCCTGAGCAATTCAGAAGCTGCCTGGTTCCTTCTGCGTTGCCATGGCACTGCAGATTAGCTGAGGTGACTGTTGATGGGGGGAGGCTGGAGAAAGTGCCTCTGCAAACCATTCCACATATCTTCATTAGATGGTTTTCATTTAGATTATACTGTAAACCTTGACCGTTTGCCACACAGACCTTTCCTCAGGCAAACATTACTGCATGGCTGGAAGTCCTATCGCGTCCTTTTTCACAAGAACGTGTTTCAGGTGGTTCAGGACTTCAGTTTTGAAGTCAAAATCCCATTTGTTGTCCTTTAGCATCATAATGGTTTGACTTCCTCTTTCGTACATTTATTTCCATATCAGAGTTTCCAAAGAAACATTTATTTGTTTGGCATATCATTAATTTCTTCATTCATACAACACATTTGTCTCTAACAAAGGGCTAATCCTAGGGCTTTTTTCTAATAAAATAGTATTCTTTCTGGAATCAATGGAACACAACTGGAATCAACTGGAGCACAATCACTTATAAAAGGTAAAGACAATGAAATAAGCATGAATGAAAAAGGCGGGATTTCCTATAAACCCCCCATGAATTGCAAACAACACACAACTAATGCACTGTAATATTTATTTCTGTTTGGAGAGTGGACTTAGGTTTTTGAAATTATTATCAATTTATTTGTAATAAAAAGAAAGCAGAGGATTCAAATCGAGTTTCATACCTCGCTTGGTGAATAGCTTCCACCCACTCATCTCCATCAACTTCATCCTCACAACGGAGCTCCAGTGGCTTCTGCCCTTCATGGCCAAAGAGAACAGTGAAGTAATGCTGCAAATAAAAACGGGGGGGGGGGGGAAAGAAGTTCAGAAACTCTCAAATAAAACAAATATATAAAAGTAAGGAAAAAACTCCAATATAAACCAAACAACCCATATAGCAAAAAGAAAAACAAACAAACAAAAACCACAAACAAACAAGTAATAAAAAAAATAACAAAACAAAAAAAAACCCCAACCACCAAAAGACTTTTTATATTCAAAGCATTGTGAGCCCAAGGAAGATGTGTTTTAGGTTTAAGTCTTGAAACAGAGATTGAAGTTGAAACTATCCTGCAAATATTGCCCTGTGTATCAAGGTAATAGCTTTCATGATACTTACTGTTAACTTATTGTTCTTAAGTTCTCACATACAAGACAACAATATACAATTCCCTAAACAGCTCCTACAGTCAAATACAATAACAGAACTACAGTGGGGTGTCTGTAGCTCTTTCTTTCGTTTTTTCACATAAAACTGCACCTGGCTCTACTTATTCCTCCCTTTTCCAGAAGAACAAGGACCTTTCTCGGTCATCACACTCCCAAAACTTCTTTGCCTTTCTTTCAAGAAACCTCACCCATAACTGTCATTGCAACAACTTTTTGTTTTCACAAGAAAATGTTATTCACACAAAAACTCATATTCTTTGATGGCATTTCTTGCATGAAGGGTCTTGCCCAAGGTGTGTTCCGTAGAACACGAGATTTCAGGGAAGTTTCTGCTTCTTTCAGAATGTAGTATTAATACTGTTATGTAGTGAGGAGGGGAGAACCCCCAGTCATCTACCTTAAATCCCATTTCACAAGGTTGCTTATTTACAACCTTATTTTGCATAGCTTGCATACCAACTTAGAGCTGGGTAGCAAACAGAATTCTCGCTACTCTGGTAAAAATAGGTGAGAAAACAGTCTAACTAAATACACATCAGTAATTGCCACAGGTGCTCTACACGCAACCATTAGTAATCCAGATGTTTCAAAGGCAGCAAGACCAGTGAGGGAGCTGCCCACACATAAAACCATCTGGTTAGTGGGTCTGATGTTATTCAGGAGCTCTTCTAGATAAACCAGATCTCTCACTTCTCCTCACTACCTAGAACTGCTCAACCCCTCTTCCACCTGTAAACAGGGAAACAAGCACAAACACACATGGCCGAGATTCCTGTCTGTGGTATAACAGCAAATGCCCAACTCACTCCAGTCAGCCAGCAAGGTGTATTATCTATGTGATGTGCATTCTCACATGCCTTTAGCATGTTTAGAACAGTAAGAAACCTGAAGTGATGTCAACAAACACCCGTCTTTCCTGGGGACATCACCTTTATAAAACGCAGCTGTCTCTGAGAACACTCACACGCTCGGTTCCTTTTTGGGTAACGTGAGTACAGAAGTGGTCATTCCATAAAGATAAAACTATTCATTTGTGCATGGTATTAATTTGCTAAACATTATTACACATATACAAAACACCTTCCATGCAGAAAACCCCCAGCGCTGCAGGACTGCAGACAGACACAACAGAAACAAGGCCAAATAAGAAGCAGAATTCACATTTAGTTCAGGGGCTCAAATCCACTAAATTTCAGAAATAAAAAACTCCAGGGCACAGACAAGGATTAGAAAATCAGTAAAAAGACAATCTTATAAAACTGTGGTTTTTCAACAGTGCATATCACTTAAGCCTGAACAGAATAGCCATGAATAGGAAAAAACCTTTTAATCAGGTCCACAGGATTTTCCAAAGCAGTGAAAGATAAAACCTTCTGTAACAATATAGTGCAATTGAAAATAACCTAAAGCACAGTGAAAAGTGCAGCAAGATTACACACAAATGTGCTCTGTTTATAGAGTGGAGTAGTCTATTTTAAAAAAAGTATATTTAAAGAGAAATCACACTGTTCAGTACTGCATATTACGTAACAAGTTATTTGCATTTCTTAAAGCTGTTACATATAAAATTAGAATAAAGACACGAGTGCAGAAAAGCACTGGATTTAATCTCATTGTGTGGGGATTCAAGTTAAAGGGAGAGACAATATTACAGTCCTCCCTACTTTTAAAGTGCCATAACTCAGATCTCTTTTGAGCAAGACTTGCAGTGATATCGTTGCAGAATTTAAACTTAGAGGTTTGCAGTTACTATGGTGATAGTCAGGCTTTAAACACCTAGTTAGACCAAGAAAATACATACATTTAAACAAACTTTGGGGTCTACTACAGTAGAACTGGACCCACTGGCAACTGGTAAATTATAGAAGACATTTGTTTTCTGAAGCTTCTTCTGAAATCATCCAAATCCTTCACCCCACACATTTTGCACTCAAGCATCAGTAAAACTATCACTTCATTTATCCAGAAGCAGTCAACTCTAGAACAAGCAAAATGTAAGAAAAATATCACAGCATGCCTCTGAAAAGAATCTCTAAGTCATCTTCAGATTATTTTTTTTAAATGAATGTTGCTCATTTAAAAAAACTAATTTACTAAAAGAAAATAAGATGGTATCTGTGATGCACTATCACATTATCCAGTAAATGATGTATGTGAGTGGGCCTATATATATAGAGAGACACATATAATTTTAGCACTGCCATTCAATACTAAACAGTGCAGCTTCTACATACAGGTACAATACAGGTGAAAAACACCCTTCTGCATACACAGAAGTTTCTTGAGGTGGTAACAGTAAATATTTAAGAATTATAGCATATATGTACATCAACAGCCCTCATTATCATCATCATTCATCATGCCTGTTGGATTAGCAGGCAGGCATCTGTGTTTCAATCTCAGCCCATAGTTCATCTGGACAATTCTGTTATAATTGTTTATTCTGAAAATCCCTGGACTCATAGAAGATAAGATGAATATTCTGTATTTCGACATAAAACAGGGGAATTAATTTCATTTTAAGGTGTCTTTTCAGTATTCAGGTGCACACAAACAAAATGTTAAGTCTTCATTTGAATAAAAAGATCTTTGGCTGAGTTCTGCAAGGTAAAGCTTGGGGAAAAAAAAGAGGGAAAGTTTCAAATACCTGGCACAGGTATGAAGGCATGACTGACACGCAAGGAAAGAACAATGAGACTAGCGTTTATCAAAAATATTGTTGTATATCACTCCTCTGACTTGAACCCAGGGCTAATCAGTTCCTTCCTGTGATGAAAAGGAAAGAATAAGAAATGAGCTGATGGGCACCACTCCTCCAGAAACAAGACTGGAGCAAGATGAAAACCCTGAGTGAAAGAAGTCCAGTACCAGAGCACACTAATTGTGACTCTGGGCTCCCTCTGACAGCAGCTCACACTGTATCTCTGCCCTTGTAAAACTGCCCAAATGATGGCAAATTCAAAATAAAACAGCAAAAGCTCTGAAGGTGACATACTTTCCAAGGGGAAAATCAAGCATTATCCTGGTTTAAAAAAAAAAAAAAATTGATCAAACTCCCACCAATAAAAACCACAACAAACAAACACACACAAAAAAAACAACAAACCAACCAAAAAAACCCACAGACAAACAAAAAAAGCCCCAACACAAATGATACATGCCCTGTAACAGAAACACTACTTTTAAGACCACTGAGGAAGAGCCTTCACCAACACAGCCACTTCTAAAACTGAATTTCCTGGTAGCAAAATGATGCTCTCCTTGGACCGTCCAGAGCATTTGCTGTTCATGGAGTGAAGGCCACAGGGACATGGGCAGCGCTCTCCCCAGGCACGGGGACAACCCACAGTTCATTCTCCTCCCTCCACCTCCCATGAAACCCCCAATGGACGTCTCTCCTTTCCCTCACCTCCCACCCCCTGATAACTCCATGTCTCTCCCCTTGATTACTCTTTTCCACAGCCCAGCACTTGTAGAAACCACACGTGTCTTTTCCATGTGTAAATTAGAGGTGCTGCTTTGAATAACCCGTTACTGAAACACCAGAGAACCAAGAGGATCCAGGACTTCCCACAGTGGTGCTTCTCCCTGTCACAGGCAGAGGAGCTGCTCCCCTGGACAACACCACTGCTTGACAATTCTGCTGCAGTTCCCGCCTTCAGCTCCTCCTAAATTTGGTCAGCACCAGATGTCCAAATGGAAAAGCTTACCCTGGAGAAGGGATGCCTGTGTCTACAGTGGTTTTGCTATTGTATCCTCCCATGAGCACATATCAACATGTAAATTGTGCTTCCAAAAGCACCAAGGTGACAACCAAATTGTGTTGTATTGCGGGCCTGCAAATGATTATCCTGTAGTAATAATTACTTGCACCTGAACTGCTCTTCTCCAGACGTTTCTTACTAAACTTAATATGAATTTAAAATAACATACTATAAAATTACCATTTTTAAAACTTAATTGTGGTGCAACCTCATTCAGTGATTTACTCCACACTCTTGTTTTTTTCATTCAAGCCAGGACTTTGAGAGTAAGTTAAAAAGAAAGTTCCAAACATCAGTATTGGTAAGAATAGAAACTACAGATGCAAAGAAGTGGTGAAAAATTTGCCTGTGAACCAAGAATGCTACCAAAAAAAATTAAGAGCCTTAACAAAAGCCTGTCTTCAATGTGAAGCATGAGGAACCTTAATCGTTTGCCATGTTTGCTACCTGGTGTTTACAAGGGCACGTTACAAACCTTTGATGTTGAAAAAGGAGGCAGAAGTGATTAACTAAAATTCAAGATGACAAGCTAAAAATATTTCTTGTTCTTGACTTCTAAAGACATTTTAATTTCAGAATCTGGAAGCCTGTATGCAATCTGAAGTGTTAGTAAATTACTGGGCAAAAGAGAACAATCACTGCAGCAACTGAAAACTCAATAATCCCAGGAGGAAAAGCAGCAAACTGCATTCTAAATCAAAGCAACTTATGCTACTCAAGGAAACATTAACTCATCAAGTTTTCAGATGTGTTCTACTGATGGTATTTTATCCAGCTTCTCAAATACAAAACATGACATGTATTCTGTATCTCTTACATCCTGGGGAAAGGGAAGGAAACAAAGTGAGTATGCTTG